GGTGGAGGTGCAGCTGAAAGATCTGATCCTTGCTGACTATGGCAAGAAGAACAAGTAAGCTACTGTCCTGCTGCAGAACCCCATCAGCCTTTCCTTATCTTTGTATCATGTGACTTTTTTTTTTTTTTTTTTGCCCTTCCGCTTGTCCTAAAAAGTCTCTGTTTCATTTTTCTGTAGTGCCTTCAGAGCTTTTGTATTTGTGAGATGGATCTGATGTGTGCTGACACGATGGGTTTTCTCTTTCAGTGTGAACGTTGCATCCCTAACGCAGTCAGAGATCCGAGACATCATCCTGGGCATGGAGATCTCTGCCCCCTCTCAGCAGAGACAGCAGATTGCAGAAATTGAGAAGCAAACCAAGGAGCAGTCGCAGCTGACAGCCACACAGACCCGCACTGTTAACAAACATGGGGATGAAATCATCACCTCCACAACCAGCAACTACGAAACCCAGACTTTCTCCTCCAAGACTGAGTGGCGAGTCAGGTAGGAGGGAGGACAGAGCTGTTGCACAGTTGGAAAAGGTGAGATCTGTGGGCCCTGTTACAATCATCTCCTTTTCTTCACAGAGCGATTTCCGCTGCCAATCTCCACCTGAGAACAAACCACATTTATGTTTCATCAGATGACATAAAGGAAACAGGCTATACATACATTCTTCCCAAGAATGTGTTGAAGAAATTCATCTGCATCTCAGATCTGCGAGCCCAGGTGAGTGTGCATCAAGGCTGTTAGGGTGTCTGTGCAGCTTGTGCATGCACCAGTCCTGGGCAGGCAGCTCCCAGGGCCTTGTGGTGAAAGGCTGGGAGCTTGCTGCTGTTTCTGGGCTGGAAGTAGACATCCATTTTGTGGCTGAGTGCATCCCAGGTCGAAAAGGCTTCTTTAGGCCAGATTCAGGTGGCCTGAAGAGCTTTCAGTCCAGAACATAACATAACTGTGATGTGACCTTACTCTAGTGAGGAGCTGCTGGGCAAGAGAAACTTGCTTTAGGACCTGAGGTCTTGCCCACCAACTCTCACACGATTATAGGAGGTCTCTTCTAGGCTTGTAAAGTGGGTGTTTGTTTGTGTTCCTAGATTGCAGGTTACCTTTATGGAGTGAGTCCTCCTGATAATCCCCAAGTGAAGGAGATCCGGTGCATTGTGATGGTACCCCAGTGGGGAACGCACCAGACTGTGCATCTCCCAGGGCAGCTGCCTCAGCACGAGTACCTCAAGGTGAGTTGAGCTTCTGCTCCCAGGGAGGGTGGAAGGTCATCACTTCCATAACAGATCCAGGTGACAGGGGAGTCTTGCTGCCACTCAGCTCCAGTGTGTTTGCCTCAGTAACTCGCCTCTGAAGTCTGCCTGATCTGGGATCAGGTGAAAGGGCGAAGCCTTTAGTCCATGTGTACTTTGTACTGTGCTTAAGCACTCATAAACCTTTCTCGTGGCTTTCAGTTTCTTCTTGTTGAGTGAATGATTTTCACTTTCCATTCTGTAGGAAATGGAACCTCTGGGGTGGATTCATACCCAACCCAATGAGTCCCCGCAGCTGTCACCGCAGGATGTCACCACCCATGCCAAAGTCATGGCTGACAACCCTTCCTGGGATGGAGAGAAAACTATCATCATCACCTGCAGGTGAGAGGCAGCAGGGCTTGTGTGCTGCGTTCCCTTCTTGGGAGCACACTAAGGTCTCAATCTAAAAACGTGGCAGAAAGGGTCTGTTTACTCGTTTCTTCTTTTCCTCCGTCTCAAATTAACGTGACCCCCACCGTCTCTCTGCCCTCCTTCAGTTTTACACCAGGTTCCTGCACACTGACAGCCTACAAACTGACCCCAAGTGGCTACGAGTGGGGCAGGCAGAACACAGACAAAGGGAACAACCCCAAGGGCTACCTGCCATCCCATTATGAGAGGGTGCAGATGCTGCTGTCAGATCGATTCCTCGGCTTCTTCATGGTTCCAGCACAGGGATCCTGGAACTACAACTTCATGGGTGAGCTGACTGCCCAGGGAAGGGGCAGGAAGGGAGGCAGCCTCAAGAGCTTGGGGGAGGAGAAGGAAATAGCTCTTTGAGGGGAGCATTCCTTATGTGCCTGAAGCTTGACCTTCTCTAAGTAACTGGCAGGGTTATATTAGCATTGTAGTCTGACCTTCCCTTGGTGGCCGTACAGGGATGTCAGTTCTTAATGATTTGAGGCAGCAAGAGAGCAAAAATCAGACCTGAGATCATCTTCTGTTGCTGGATTGTAGTGTCTGGTAAATTGCCACTGAATAATTAATGTCTGTCAGGAAGAAGAGATGATAATGGAATATGCAAAAGAAAAGCTGTGCCCAGCAGGGGAGGGTAGTGGGGGTCCTGGAATGAGTACACCAGCGTGGTGAACCACAGCCAGCTGCAGAGGGGATCAGGAAATGAAGAGATGGGCAGACAAAATGCTCGACTTCCTCTACCAGAACGGATCATGGGGTCACTGCTTCTGAATCTCTGAGGGGAGGAGCCGTGGAACGCAGTGTGTGATGATTTTGTGGGTTTGAAACTTCCTGCTTAAGCTGTTCTGCTTTAAAATTCTCTCACGGGTGTAGAGGGCTCCATTAAGCTCCTGATGGGCGGCGAGGACAGGAGGAGCTTCCAGGTGGATGAAGAATCATAGAATATCCCGAGTTGGAAGGGACCTGGGCTGCTGGCTCACATGTGAACTCTTTTCCAGGTGTTCGCCACGACCCCAACATGAAGTACGAGCTGCAGCTCGCCAACCCCAAGGAGTTTTACCACGAGGTCCATCGTCCTTCTCACTTCCTCAACTTCGCCCTGCTGCAGGAGGGGGAGGTTTACTCCGCCGACAGGGAGGACCTCTACGCCTGATCCTGCCACCCCGACAACTCTTAGTACTGTTGATATTCAACATCCTCTCCTGCTTTTCGTGCCCCCCTTCGCGTGTTCACGGCTCCGTTGTCCCCCATCTGTCCCAGCCGCGACGTCCCGTTGGTTGTACCGTCTTAGAGTGGCTTAATAAATTTTTTACAAAGCTGAACGCTGCTGCGTATGGAGGTCGGTGGGACGGCGCCCGCCTCGTCGGGGCGGCTCCGGACGGGGCGGGACGGGGCGGAGCATTCACGGGGCCACGTCCGGTGGCGGCGGGGCCGATGGCGGAGCCAGCGCAGGGCACGGAGCCGCTGTGGCGAACGCCTCCGGGCCGCCTGGCCCCGCCGCACGTCTACCGCATGGCGGAGGCGTTGGGCGCCGAACTGCGCCGTCTCTCGGGCCGCTTTGGACCCGACGCCGTGGCCGGATTGGTGCCGCCGGTTGTGCGGTTACTGGAGCTGTTGGAGGCGTTGGTGGCACCGGTGGGCTCCGAGGGTGAGGCGCTGCTGGCCGAGCAGCAGGATGCGGAGGTGAGCGGGGCGATGCTGGGAGCGGAGGGCTGTCCCCGGTGCCTTCCTCTGCCGCGTCCCTGCGGGCAAGTGCCTCGCGTGGCCCTCCTTCCTTGGCGGCGTTTATCCTCGTGGCGGTGTCCTTGGGGGCAGTGCCGTCCCTTGGGGTTGGCTTAGAGCTGACTGTCCCTCGTTCCTTGGCGCGGCTCACACCGAGCTGTCGCCAGCCCCCCGAGCCTGGCCCTGACCCGGCTGTCCCTGTCCCCCAGGACCTGGAGCAGAGGCTGTGGGAGGCCGAGCGCCGGGAGCGAGCCCTGCGAGGCCGCCTGGCCCAGCTGGAGGAGCAGAACCAGCAGCTCCTGGGGCAGCTGGCAGAGAGCCACCACCAGGAAGGTGGGTGTCTGGTGAGCTTGGGGTGCTCTCCCACCGCCGCCTTTCCCCATGGGAGCGCTGCCTTCTGCAAGCCATGGAGTCCTCAAGACTCCCATAGGTTTTGGGGCAGAATAACGTTGGCATGAGTTGAGATCCCAGGAGGTGACAGGAGGGTGGTAGGGACAGGCATCCCGTGGATGTCGTTGGGTCCCTGGAACCGCTCACACTCCTTCCCCCTTTCTGGGCACAGACAGCACGGTGCGGAAGGAACGAGAGGTGATGCTGCGGCTGAAGGAGGTGGTGGACAAGCAGAGGGATGAGCTTCGTGCCCAGGCTCATGAGATCGTCTGCAAGAGCCGAGACACAGAGGCGGTGAGTGCCTGGGGACCTGCTTTCATGTCACCTCCCCTGGGGCTGATGTTGCTACTCGTGATCCCGCTGGGGCAGATGCCATTCCCACACTGCGCTGAGGTCCTGGGTGGTGGCCAAGCAGCGCTGCTGTGCCTCACTCCTGGTTGTCACTGCCTTTTCAGCTGCAGGAGCAGCTGCACCGCTTCATGTCCATGAACGAGGAGCTGCGGCACAAAGTGGCCGTGGTGCAGGCGCAGCTCAAGAGCGCTCTGGAGAAGAAGTCTGACCTGGAGGCCGCTGTGCTGCAAACCCAGAGGGAAATGAGCAGGAGGAGCAGGGCTGCCCCTGAGGCACCTCTGCCACAGCCCAGCCAGGTGAGCTGGGGGACCTGGGGCTGCCAGAGCGCGGCTCTGGGGGTTGCGCTCACCCCTCATGCTGCCCATCCTCAGGAAGGAGCAGCACCGCTGCCTGCAGAGGAGCCGCCATGCCAGGATGCGAGCAGGAGCCCGGCTCAGTGCTGCTTCTCCATGGAAGAGCTGCAGCAGATCCTGCAGGAGCGGAACGAGCTGAAGACCAACCTGTTCCTGGTGCAGGAGGAGTTGGCCTATTACCAGCGGTGAGCCCTACAAGAGCCACGTCCCTCCTGTCCCTGTAGCACCTTATGGCCCATCAGAGTGCTCCTGGCAGCCCCAGGCAGCATTTACTTGCAAAGCTCTCAGCTAACCCATGGGCTCTCTGTTGCAGGGAGCTGCTGAACGAAGAGAGAATCCCCAGCTTCTTCCTGGATGCAATGAAGTCGACGATCAAAAAGCAGAGAAGAAAGATCAGAGCCAAGATGCTGGGGACGGCGGAGGAGTCAGCGAGTAGGTGAGTCGAGCTGCAGGCAGCGTGGAACCTCCTGCACGCTGCCCCTGGTGCTTCCGTGCACTGTGGCACCTGTGAGAGATCAGCCCTGGGCTCTGGCCTTGTCCCTGCCCTCCCGCCAGAGGGCAAAGGTTCAATGCCTGTGCTGGGTGCCCTGGCCTGGTGCTGCGGGGCTGGGCTCTTTGCTGATGCTTTCACATCATTGTCACATGTCACATGCCTGCTCCATGTGTGCTGCTCTTCCTTGTATGGATATGATAGTGGGGAGGAAAGGTGATGGGGCACGTAGTCTGTGAGCTGTGGAAATAGCACTGGGGATGTTCCCTGCAAGACAACTTTGGGTAGCATTTGTTCCAGATCTGCTCAGCACCAGGAGGGGAAGCGGAGCTGTATCTCACTGCTTTGCGTGGGTTTTAATAAAGGTCTCAAGAGGGCTGAGCTCTTCTATGCTATTCCAACCTCCTGCAGCTGCTGCTTGCATTGGGGTGCAGGGGGGTCTGTGCGGCCTGGAGCAGATCTGTGGCTGGAGCTGAGGCCGCATCCCAGCCCGTAGTGGTCCTGGCTCTGCTGTCGGTGCTGCTTGGAGCAAGCAGGGCAGGTTTGCTTGGCCACGCTCATGGCTGGGACTTGCCGGTCTGGGCTGGTTAGGGTAGGGATGGATCCTCCTCTCCTGCCCAAACCTTTTATGAGAGCTGTGGGAGAGGCAGAACGAGATTTTCAGGAGAGCAGGGGTTTCCCCCAGTCAGCACAGCTTGTTTTTTCCTTGTGCAGCCTCAGCACGTTGGTGGGAGCTGTGCCCTTGTATGCCCAGAAGTCTGAGACACTGCTCACCACCTGCCTACCTAGCGTGGCTTCTGCTCTATGAGCTCCTTCCCTGCCATCTTTTGGGGTGCCATCCTGCTGTTTGCAGGTCTGTCCCCAGCATCACCCCATGCTGCAGCTGGTGTTGCTGATGGTACCCCTGAGGCTGAGCTCAAGCACAGCCCTGGCATCTCTGCAGGGCTGGGGATGCCCTATTGCAGCCTCAATGCCTCAAAGCAATGGCAGCAGCCACAGTTCCCTGAGCAGTGTGCCAGGGCTGGGTGCCCACAGACTGCAGCGTGGGCTGTGGCTTCTGCTGCTGCGGCCAGTTGGGACAAAGCAGCTGCTGAGCAAGTGTTGGGCTTTGGAGCTGCCTTCTGAGAAGAAATCTGTGGGCTGGGAACAAAGCAGTGGCTTTGGGAAGCAGCGGATGGTGAGGGATTGGGGAGCACAGCACTCAGCCTGGGTTTTGTTCCCACTCTGTGCTGCAGTGATGAAGAGGAAGGCTCCTGGCTCCCGGCTCGAGGTGCAGACTGTGTGGACGCTCCGCCTCCAGAATCCAAAATCAGGAGCTTGTAAGTTCCATCCCACACTCAGGTGCTGGTGGGGTGGAGATTTTTGGCTCAGCTGTGTGCCCGATGCCTGCTGAGCTCAGTGCCAGGACCCTGCTGCAGAACGGATGTGCTTGGATCCTGGGGACGTGCCTTTCCTTGGGGCTGCCACATAGCTGTGCACATGGAGGGAGGATGGGATGCAGCTGCTCCCTAGAAAGGCTCCTCTCCCCCACGCCTGCTATCTGCTCTCTCCACAGCTTTGGGTTATGGTATCAGGGCAGCAGCAAAGACCCCCCCGTGCCCAGCTGCTCCGGAGCCTGGGAAATCATCGACTCACTGGACACACAGCAGGAGCAGATGGGAGAGCACAAACCAGACCGAGGCGCACCAGCACTCTGACCCTGTTGGATCTGACCGTGGCATCACCGGGAGCCACAGAGCACAGCGTGGTGCACGGCTGGGATGCTCAGCTGGCACAGAGCAGCTCGGCACCTCCGGGCACTTTGCCCCATCCTGCCCCACGTGGGTGTTTCACATCTTCCCTTCCCAACATCTCTCCATCCCTGCAATGTGAAGATGAAGAGCTGTCTGGGTGCTGCCCTGTTTTCCCCATGCCGGGCTGAGCACGCACTGGTGAGGGCTGGGTGGCCTTTGGGAGCACATTTTGAATGTGGGGTGAATTGGTTTTGTGCTGGGACTTGTTCCTGCTTCTGGAAATTGGAAAAGTTTAGCAATCTTCATGTTTACGGGGGCACAGCTATCCGCATGGATCAGGTGCTTCCCAGCTCTGGGACTGGAGTCAAAAATAAACTGGGCTCTTGTTTCTCTGACGAGGTGCCCACTGCAACCTCTGCTCTGTCTTTGTGTTGGAAGGAGCCCGGCAAGCAGCTCGGTGGGCTTTGGGGGCTCTTCCCCAGCACAGCTGTGGTTGTACCATAGCCCATACACAGAGCTGGGCTGGGGACAGAGGCTCTGGGTGCTCCTAATGACCCATGGTGGGAATTGGGGCCATTGGGGCACGGCGTTGGAGGTGCATGAGTTAAATCCCATACGGGGAAACCCTGGCTGGCTGTGCTCAGGAAGGAAAAAGGTGTTTCCTGTGCATCTGCTGACACAAAGCTCCTGTGGGACATGCAGTGGGATGGAGCCAGCAGCGGCAGCAGGTCCTGGAGCCTGCCTGGATTTAGGCCAACCCAGGGCACGCTGCGTTCCTGGGGGACACCGAATTCCATCCTGGACCAGGACTGCAGAAGAGGGCTTGGCTGTGCCCTGGGGTGGATAGCAGAGGGGAGGTGGATGCCTGGGGGACATGAAGGACATCGGCTCCAACAGCCTCAGGGGGCAGTTGGGTGGGCCATGGGGCAGTACCCGGTGGGTGCTGTTCCCTGTGTGAGAAGGCTGAGGCCTGTGCCGTGCATTCCCTTGGCAGCAAAGGTCAGGAACAGACAAGGCTGTGGCATTCCCTGCCTCCTCCTTCCCCCTGCACCCCTGGCGTGGGGCTGGGACGCCTCCTCCCGCGTTTCCTCAGGAAGAAACCAAGGCTGGCGGGAGGAAGAGGCTGAGCCACAGGAGAGAAACCCACAGACGGACAGACGGATGGACAGACGCTGCTGCCCCGGCGGGATGGCGAGCACCCGCCTGCTGCTCTGCCTGCAGCTGTGGCTGTGGGTGCAGGGCTCTGCCCAGGAGCTCGACCCTAATGGCAAGAATGTCTGCAAGGTGGGCAGGTAGGTGACTCTGCATCCCCTCTGTCCCTGGGCCTTCAGGTAGAGTGAGGTGGGATCCTCCGTGTGTCCTTCTGTGGGTGGAGCCCAGCAGCTCATGGGCACAGGGAGCACAGCGATGTCGGGGGCTCTGGGCACCCAAATCCCTTCTCCGTGGGGTTGTTTCCAGGAGAGCCTGGGGACAATGGGGGAACGTGGGAGTGTTGGTAATGCTATCACCATTAACGCCGTCAGAAATGCAAAATGGAAGCAAATCCTAAATGGTGTTTGGGGCAGATGGCCGTGCTGCTTTATCGCTGTGTTTCCTCTCATATTGATCTCCCATCAGCGCAACGCATTTGTGTCAGTGTTTTTAGGTACTAGCAAAGCTCCCCCAAAACACTGGGGGATCTATTTGGGCTCTGTAGCTGCAGTGGCAGCAGTATTAAGCACTGCTGCTCCAGAACCCAGCCCTGAAGCTCAGCAACGACTTAAATTTCCTTCTATTTTGCTGGCTTCCTTCCTGAGCGAGCCCCCGCAGCCTCATGGCTTCCCCGTGTGTGAGGCCGAGCCTGAGGAGATCATTCGTCTTCAGCTTCTTTTTCAAAGCCCTGAAGCTGAAGGCAATGTCCCCAGCCCTGGGCAATGGCTGATGTGCCCCACTCTGTCCCACAGCCTTGCCATGAACCTGGCGTGCTGCCCCGGCTGGAAGCAGGAAGGGAGGGAGTGCACAACTGGTAAGCAATGGGTGACACTTGAAATCTTTGTCCCCTAAAATCTTCATCCCCACGTTTCTCCTCCTCGCTGCCCACCCTGCAGCATTGCAGGGAGCCCTGAGTGCTCTTGGTGCTGGTGGTAAGAACGGGGGAGACCCCGCAGTGGATGGGGTGGTGGGGTCCCACCCGGTGACATGGAACCTGCTTTGGCAGGGGGGTTGGACTCGATGATCTCTGGATGTCCCTTCCAACCCCTACAATTCTGTGATTCTGTGATTCTGTGACATGCCAACCCTGCTGCCACAGCACTCTGTGAAGGGGAGGAAGCCTGCGGGCCGGAAGAAGTGTGCGTGAGACCTGGGATGTGCCGCTGCAAACCCGGCTTCTTCGGTGCAGATTGCAGCTCCCGTGAGTGCTTCGCCCCCCTCCTAGCAGCCTGCCCTGGGTGCTGGGGGCTTCTTCGTCATCTCCTTATTGTTATCTCCTTCCTTCCCCAGCCTGCCCGGCGCAGTACTGGGGTCACGACTGCAAGCGGCGCTGTCTGTGCCACCCCGGTGGGACGTGCGAGGCGGAGAGCGGGCGCTGCACCTGCAACCCCGAGCGCTGGGGAGAGCTGTGCCAGTTCCGCTGCCCCTGCGGCCCCCACGGCCGTTGTGACCCCACGACTGGAGCCTGCCGCTGTGAGCCGGGCTGGTGGGGTCCTGACTGCAAGAAGCAGTGCCAGTGCAACCTCGCCACCTCACGCTGCGACCCTCTCACCGGGCACTGCCATTGCCGGCTGGGCTGGTGGGGAAGGAAGTGCAGATTCAAGTGCTCCTGCAACCTCTCACCCTGCGCCCAGGAGACGGGCAATTGCAAATGCAAGGCTGGTTTTTGGGGGTCGGCGTGCCAGTGGCACTGCGACTGTCTGCGTGGTTCCTGCAACCCTCTCAATGGGCATTGCAGCTGTGAGCCAGGTTTCCAGGGCAGGAGCTGCCAGGACCCCTGCCCAGCAGGGAGTTATGGGTCCCAGTGCGTGCACAGGTGAGCTGGTGATAGCAGGGACACGGGGTGGGGGTCGGTGTGGTTGCATCCATCCCTTTGGCTGTTCAGGGAGATGCATCTGGAGGTGGGGGTTAAGAGCCGTGAGTGGTTGCAGCATTGGTGTTGCCACTAAGAAGCATCCTGCGAATGCCAAAGGAGGGCTCTGGCATCATCCTAAAATCCTAGTACCATCCCTAGAGCAATAATACAGTGTTTATCCCTGCTAGGCTTCTGCCCTGGGGTTACTATAGAACCTTAAATGCCGTCAGGAATCTTCTCAAAAACCCAAGTGCTACTGAATGCAACTGTGGGGGGAGAACTGTGTTTGGGGGGGAGGGTGTTGAGGCCTCACTGCCCCTGTGACCACGCAGCTGTGGGAACTGCAAGCACAACCAGCCCTGTTCATCTGTGGATGGCTTCTGCCTGGAGTGCCAGCCTGGCTGGAATGGGACCCTGTGCAAGGAACGCTGCACACCCGGCTTCTATGGCCAAGGCTGCCTCCAGCCCTGCCCACACTGCCGGCAAGGGGACATCTGTGATGCAGAGACCGGTTCCTGCCCACGCTGTGAGCCTGGCTGGACAGGACCCAGGTAACCCAGCAGGTAGGGGCAGAATATGGCCATTGGTGCTGGTGATGGGGGTCCTGGTGACATCTCTCTCTCTCTCCCATCAGCTGTAACAGCTCCTGCCCTGCAGGGACGTTTGGTGATGGATGCCAGCTGCTGTGCCCCGAGTGTGTCTGGGGGAGCTGTGATCCTGTGTCGGGTGACTGCCTCTGCCAGGCTGGCTACTGGGGAGCCAGGTAAAATGGGGAGCAGGGCTGGGAGCTGTTGGTCCTGGGGGCATTTCTCCTCCTTTCCTCTCTCTTTCAGCTGTAACGACACCTGCCCAGAGGGCTTTTTTGGGGTGAACTGTTCCTCCCCTTGCCAGTGCTCACGAGGAACCTGCCACCCTGCACAGGGCAACTGCATATTGAGTAAGAGCAGCCCTAAATTCACTCCTTGGTGCTGGGCGAGGGTCCGTGACAGCCTCACCAGGGACAGGGATGCTGCGGTGGATCCATCCGTGGACACACTGATCCCATCTTCCCCACGCAGGTCTGACAGACCACGCAGCTCTGGCTGCTGCCATCCTCATCCCTCTCCTCCTGCTGCTGCTTTGTGTTGCTTGCTGCTGCTGCGGTGCTGGCCCTGCGGATGCCAGAGACAGGTATCAGTGCAGGTATTCCCCTTCGCTGCCAAACCTTTTTTCCCCTTCTCCCCTTCATGCCACATCCCCACACAGGGCGGCCGTGCCGGATGACGACGTGGTGGCCAGGATGAAACACCACGTGCAGGGCGTGCTGGCCAATATCAGTGCTATGATGCCTTGCTTCACCCTCAACAGCTCCAAGCTTCCCAAAGTCACAGGTGAGAAAGCAGACCTGCTGCCAGCCCTGTTTTGTGGCATGGAGCCTGACAGGCCCCTCTGCATGGCCACCAGACCTCAACTACTTGTTATCTCCTCCCCAGTTTCCCACCACGATGCAGAAATCCCCTTCAACCCCAGCTTCATCGAGTCGCCATCAGCTGCATGGGCTTCAGACAGCTCCTTCTCCTCCTTCGACACCGACAACGAAGGGCCAGAGTATTCCGTCCCTCCCAGAGAAGGTGACACATGGCTCCATATCCCCTCCCTGCTGCACAGTCCCCCTCCCCACAGCCCTTGTGCTTTCCAAGGATATGCACTCGGCCCAGGCTGTTATTTTCGTTCCCTCATTTTCCCCTCCACAAGGATGAGCCAAGGCCATACTTGGCCTCATGCAGTGTGATGTGCCCTGCAGCCCCATTTCCTAACGCGCTCCTGGAGGCAACCCTATGGCACCAGCATCCTCATCCCTGAGCCCTAATCCCCATCCCCAAGGCCGAGGGCTGCCTGTGCCCCCACCCCTGGGGGTTAACACCTGCTCCTTGTCCCACAGGGGTCCCACTGCTGTCAGGGGCTGAGCTGCAGGCCGGGATGTCCCCCCCCAGCGAGGCGCTCCCTGACCCCACCGCCTTCAGCTCTGAGGATGTCTCGCAGCCCTTCACCATTCCCCGCACCTCCAGCATCGCCAAGGCCAAGCGGCCCTCTGTCTCCTTTGCTGAGGGGACGAAATTCAGCACAGCGGAGACCCCCAGCCCTGGGCGGAAGCCAAAAGCCCTGTGGGGGCCATCCAAGCTGTCCCTGCAAGCAGGAGATGTGGGGACCGAGATCCCCGCTGAGCAGGCAGGCAGTGATGGTTACGAGAGCCCTGATCCCCTCAGCAAAGGGGACGAAAGCCACCGGCCATCACCTCGGGCCACGCCGGGGGGCCGCCGACGGATGGTCACCAGCACCAGACACGTGGCCCAAAGGGTAGAAGCCCTGGAAGCGGCTGCAAAAAGGGGCAGCTGGGATGGGAAGAGGAAAGAGCCCAACGTCACCACCATCTACATGACGGTGGGGACGGCTGGGCAGGACCCCAAAGCTGAGGGGGGTGTTGAAGGTCCGGTGCAGGCTGTGCTGAAGCGGCTGGGCAGCTTGCAGAGAGGAAGGTGGGCTGCCAAGGAGGAGCCCATGGTAAGGAGGAGCATGGAAGGCATCCAAAAACCACCCCGCCGGGCTCTGGCACAGCGTAGGGATTCGGCAAATGGCTGCAAGCAGAGGGAGAGTGTGCCGGGGGCTCCCGGTGAGCTGTGCCCTGGAAAACAGCAGCATCCTCCTGGGAAGAGACAGTCGTTCCCACTGGAATCAACAAAAAGCACTGGGGGCCAGGATGGGGTTGGTGAGGGCCTGGGTGCTGCAGAAAGTGGCAAAAGCCTTGAGCTGGCCCTAAGCGTGGAAACGAAAGGCCAGGTTGCCCAGGAGGAAGAGCCGAAATATGAGAATGTGAGCAGCAGAAATGAGGATGCACCAACCAACCCTGCGACCACCTGAGCCCCCAGACCTGAGGCTGAGGCACAAGGTGACCCACAGGACCCTTTGGGTTGTCCCCAGCCTGGGGGAGCCAAGATCCTCCCCAGGCTAGGCATATGGAGCCTTCCCCTTATTGCCCTTCCCTTCGTGCCGTGCTTCATGCAGCATCCAGCTGTGTGCAGCCCCAGCAGGTCGTGGTGCTTCGGAGCTGTTTTCCACCTCCTCCATTCTATGTCCTCCACAAAAGCTGGATGGGAAATGACTTTTTGTGGGTGCCCTGCCCTGCATCACCACAGTGCTGAGAGGTGGTGAGGGTGCTGCTGGGTGCTGGAGGAGCCACAGCCCTCCCAGGAGCTGGGTTCGGATGTATATAGGTGCTACAAGTTTTGTTGCATGTCCTTCTGTTATTTCAAGTGGCGCAACGTGGAAATAAAATGTTACCAAAGGAGTTTGGTTTCCCAGCTGTACCATGTTAGGAATATTCCCCCAAGCAGGGCAGCTGCCAGCTCCTTTAGGCTTTTGTTTTATTGTTTCATTTTCTGGTTTCGCTCAAACAATTCTCAGCTCAGTAACAGGGATGGAGAGCACAGGGTGGGAGGGGAGGGCACACCTTGCTGATTTGGGTTTTGGGGTTCGGGACAGCTGGGCAAGGAGCTGCTGTGCAGAGGGGGGTTTGCTTCTTCTCCTTTTGCTTCCCATGGGAGCCTGCCTGTGGTGTGAGGCACCAGACCCCCATAGGCCCACGCAGAGCAGCTTCCAGCACTCCTCCTCTCTAGGATCTCACCATCACGTGTGTAGCACCAGATATTCTGGGACACAAACAGGACGTGCAGCCCTCAGCTCTGCTCAGGCCACTCCTTGTTTTGAAGTTATTTTAAGGCAAGGAAAGACCCACGGTTTATTTGCATGCAGCCTTTAGCAGTTGGGTACGTTCAGCCTGAAGCCATCACCACGTTGGGGATCCGCTCTGAGCACTGCCTGCAGACAGCTGGCAATGTCCCAGTGCAGGAAAAAGTGTCCTGCTTTGAGAAATCACTGCTACTTGCAAAGCTTGCACACTGCTGTACCCAAAGCTGAGGTACCTTCACCCCACAGCGATGGCACGAGGAAGACAAGCAGATTTTAGCCATAGCACAGCCCTGCACAGCCCTCCAATGCCCCACAAAGCTTTATCCCTGGACGTGGAGGTGTGAGCCAGACAGCCAGGATGCCACATCCCACTTTCAGCCCCAGTCACTCCGTGTCACAACGTCTCTGTGCCAGCACTGCTTTCCCTCCCTCCCCGCTGTTTACTCATTCCCTGGTGTATTTATAGAGGGCAGCAGATCACCCCACAGCTCCTCGTTTCCTTCCAGAGCAGCAGAGCCAAATCCTGCTGCGCTCCCTCCAGCACAGCTCCCGTGTTTCCGAGCTCCCGTGGCCTCACACCAACACCCTCCCCCCCCCGCCAGCCCCGCACAGCTCTGTTTGTTTGATTTGTGCCTTTTCTCTCTATTTGCTCTGGCTCAAAGCCGCCGTCCCGCTGTTACAAACCTTATTTCCCCAGCAGGGAGCTTCATTTTGCACACCCACCGCAGCCCCATCAGCACTGGTGGGTGCACATCTGTCTGTCTGGACTCTCTGCATCCATCTGTCCATCCAGACCTTCAGCTTTTGCTGAACAAACCCATAGACACTTCCTTGCTCTGAGCTCCGTGTGGCCAACAGAATCCCCCCTCCCCATGGTGTTTTCTCTGGGGATGGGACCTCAGATGGCAGCAGGGCCACTGAAAGATAATAGAAGCTGGGAAATTACTGCAGGCAGTGCCCAAGTTATGGGGCTGCTGGGATCACAGTCCCACAGTGCCTGTTGGGATGGGGTTGGTTTTATCCCATTCATTCTGAGGGTCCACAGAGGGGGCATTTTCCTTCCTCCATTCACTTTGGAGTTCCAAAAAGGGTCAATTTTTCTTCCCCCAGACACTTTGGGATGCATTTTCCTCTCCTCGTTCACTCTGGGGCTCCGTAAGGGATACATTTTTCTTTCCCAATTCATTCTGGGGTTTTTCTTTCCCCACTCACTTCGGGAGTCCACAAGGAGCCTGTGGGGTCCACAGGGGGTGCATTTTCCTCCTTCCATTCATTCTGGGGGTCCACAAAAGGTGGCTTATATACTTCCCCATTCATTCCGGACGTTCACACCCGGCTTCTTCCCGCCTGGGGATCCGGGGGGGCTGTTTTGCAGGGCTCGCTCAGCGCTTCCTACGTGCAGCCCCGGCGCGGTACCGGCAGGGACTCCTGGGGGGGGGGGAGGGGGGGGAGGGGAGGAGAGGGGGAGTACCGGGGGCGCGCGGCCCGGCACGTGCCCCGGCGGCAGCGGCGGGCTCTGCTATTGGTCGAGGCGGCAGCCAATGAGCGGCGGCGGTTGTTTGCTCCGGAGGGCGGATAAAAAACACCGGGTGGAACCGCGGCGGCGCGCACAGCGGTGGGAGCGGGGCTGGGGGTAAGCGGGAGCGCGAGATTTTATTCGTTTGGTTATTATTATTTATTTATTTATTTTTAATCGTCGTTATTTTTGTTTGCTTCGTTTTGTTCTTGGTGTTTTTCTTTTTTATTATTTTATTTTTTTTCTCATTTTTTTATTTATTTATTTTTCCGCTGGGGAGGGGCGGGGGGCAAG